AGCTCTATTCCTGATACCGAAATAGATACTACCGCTTGTCTCCGGGATAATAGTAACCCGGCCTTGCCTATAATACTAGTAGACCTCTCTATTAATAAAACTCAAACTATACGTCTTATATAGGTAATACTATCCGCTACTGCCCCTGGAATATCCTACTTTTAAGGACCTAATATTACTGAATTCCTGAACTAATATAAAAGCTAGTACCGAGACTACTATATTATTAGTTCGGCTATAGTTTCCTGCCTTCCCTAGTATTACTATATAACTATTATATAGTATATTTATATAATACTAGAGTGGGTTTTAAATAATTAGGCTACTTTTAGAATTATCTTATATCGGGAATATTAAGAGAAGAATACTTACTAAATAATAAGAACCCGAGGTTTTATAGAGGCCTTAAAGAAAAAAAGCTATACTAATAAAGTTAACCTATAAAAGTTCTATTAATAATATATCTCCTTTTCTTAGTACCTAGTAAATAATTAATTACTTAAAGGCTATACCTAAATACTTTAGTTCCTTAAAGAAATTCCCTTACCCCTTTATAAAAAGATTATTTAGAAGTATAATATAAAGCTTAATATCTCTTATATAATAAATTTCAAGGCTTTTGCCTTAATAGCTATAAAGTATTATAAGTCAGATTAAGCTAATAAGGAAATAACCTATTACTAAGACTATTCTTACTCTTATAGTATTCTCGTTAATAGCCTCTAAGCTCAAATAACTATAGAAATAGACCTTACCTGCCTTATTCCTATTTATATGAAACTAGACTATTACTAGCTATTAGTTAGTATATAGCTTATAAGTACTAAAGTTCTTATATTAGATATAGCTAGACTTACTTAAGCTATATAAGTATTAGTACTATCTCTTAGTAATATTTAGGGCTTTTCTCTAAATAGTAATATGCCTAACTCGGATATATAAATAGCGCCTGCTAGATCCGCTCCTCTAAATATAGCTTGATTCCCTTAGTCTTATTTGCCTATTCCCTGGCAAGGACTATTAAGACCTGCCAAAGCTAGTTCTAGATATTATTTCTTGTATTTTTCTTCTCTTTACTAGTCTATTTAATACCCGGAAGTACCGGCTCTTTATATAGCAGGGATCATATATTTTAATTAAGTAAATCAGATCTATACTAGCCCTATAGATTCGGGAGATATAATATTCTAATTTACTTCCGAGATTAATAGGATATAGTAACTCAAGCTATACTCTTAGTATATAAATTAGAATATTTATTCTGGCCCGGAAACTAAGGTCTCTTCTCTTTTTTTAGTTATAGAAAAGTATAACCTATATACGAATTCCGATAATAAAATAAAAGATTTTACCTAAACTAATAATAAAGACAAATAGGTTATAGTTAGTGCCTCTAGAGCAGAGAAAAAGAAGGATAATAAGCCATATAAAGAACTAAAAAATAGTTATAATTAGTACCAGGTATTAAAGAATTATTAGAAGAAAGAAACTAGTATTACTATAGTATAATATCTCAGAAATGGGAAATAGATATTTATTATAACCATAAATAAGAAGAAAGAAAAGACTTAATAAGATAGTCTTATACTAGACTAGCTATAGCCTACCTTTATATATTTAACTTCTCTAAGGGATTTTACTATTAAGTCTATAGCTTTGCCTATAGCCCTTATTTGCCTTTTACCTAATTCTTGCCCGAGGGTCCGGTATCTAGTAAACGAATTTCGAGAGAAGGCTAAGCTAGAGCTACTATTAAATAAGATTCTTAATTAGAAAGTAAAAGGTATTATAACTCGAAAGCTCTTATTAAACTTTCCGGCTTTTCTAAAGCTAGTTTTCTAGAGCCCTTAATATAACTTATTAGAACCTGGCCCTAGTATTACTATTACTTCCCATAATCTAAAGAGAAATAAAAAGAACCTATATTATATAATATCTATACCTAAGCTTAGTATATATCTTAATAGAGCTACTTAAGTTAAGGCTATAATTAATACTAGTACTAAAATTAATATTATAACTTAAGGCCTTATAAATAACTATAGTCTTATAATTACGGGAAATCCTTATTTAACCTTAGTCTCTTATAATAGGGAATATTGCTTTTTTAAAAGACTTTATAAGAATATTCAAGTCGAAATTAGAAATATATTATTATATATCCAGATCTTTTTTATTAAAGAAACTAATTATTAACTTATTTTTAGATAACTCTTTATCCTATAAACTAATCTTACTATTAAATATATCTAATTAGGAGCTACCTATATAACTATCTTTAATATTAGGAAGAATAAGTCTTTTATAAGCCGAGTTATAAAAGCGTCCGATTTACGGAACTAGGTTTAAAAGAATATCTTTCCTTTAAATAACTAGAGAGTCCTAAAAGAAATATTAGAACTAGAAAAAAAGAGCTTTTAGGAAATATTTTTATTTCTTTTTTAGAAGTTTGGGAGGGAATTATATATATATTTAATCCAGGGCCCTTAGTAAGTACCTCTTATAATATTTCTTTATATATAAATATAAACTATTATATTTCTTTATAGTTTAATACTTATTTTTTTATATAATAGTAAAGCTTTCTCCTAGTAATATTAGTTAATAGGTTATATAAACCTGTTATAAAGAAAATTTGGCTAGTAAACTCAAGTAAGAGTACTAGCTTAGCTTCTAGGGAGCTAGATAATTAGAAAAAGGTACTAGAAAAGAGAAAGAATATTAGTATACTAGGGATTAGGCGCTTTTCTTAGTAATTAATTCCGAAGTTTTCTCATATTATTCCAGGTTTGCATTTAATAGAAAAGAGGAAGAAGGCCTTAAAAATTAGTCCGGAATTATTATATAAGGAAAGAAATTTATTATTTATAATATTAGATAATAGAGAAGGGGCTTTAGCTTGGGATTTTAGCTATCTAGAGCTATTAAAACCAGAAGTATCTCTACTATTAGAAATTCATACTATCTTATATAAAACTTGACAGGAACCTAGCTTTTTAGTACTAAGAGTATTAGCCCTAGTAATTAATAAGCTTATACGGGAATAACTAGATACGGGGATCTTTAAATACTATAACGGGCCCTATAGGAATCCTTACTTCCTAGTAAGAAAGAAAGAGGCCTCTAAGTATTATATAGTACAAGTAGCTTTATAAGTAAATAAGGTTACTATTAGGAATACTAACTTACTTCCGAGTATAAACAAGTTCTTGAAGTATTTTACCGGCTATATAATTACGAGTTTAGTGAATTATTTCTCGAGTTATAATTAACTTCCTTTAGTTAAGAAGTATAGGAATATAACGGGATTTATGACTTCGTATAAGCTTCTTTATTATATTAGGATTCTCTAAGAAAATACAAACTCAATTACTTAGTTTATTCGAATTATATACTATATTCTCCGAGATTTAATATTATTAGTTTATATAGCTTACCTTAATAATATTAGAGTCCGGAGTTCTATTACTACTTATAATAATACTAAAGACCTTTCTAATATCCGAAAATTTATACGAGAATATATTCAGAATTTGGACTAGGTTCTTGTATTACTAGAGTATATTAGATTAACTATATCTGGCCCAAAATTATAATAATATATAAATAGTATCTAAATTATTAGTTATATTTATTCTTTTAAAAAAAGACTACCAGAAACCATAAAAATTATTAAAATTCTGGAATAGCCGGCCTCTCGAGATATTATATAAGCCCGTACTTTTATTAGTATTTATATTTATTATTAAATCTGGATTACTTACTTTACTGAGATTATAGCCCCTATTTATGAACTTTTCCGGAAAAATTAGGTATTTATCTAGATATATAAATACTAGTTTATAATAGATATCCTTAAAACTCTCTTAACCTCTTCCCCTATATTAGTTATACTAGACTTCTTACCGGGTACTAGATTAATTATTCTTGTAATAAATACTAGTTTTACTAGATAGGATACGGTCTTAATATAAATTAGCTAGTATAACGGAAAGCGCTACCCTATATAATATGAGAGCGGTTATTAGAATTAAGTTAAGGTATCTTATAATACTATAAAGCATAAATATAGAAGGGTTTTAAAGATACTCAAGAAATACTATAGCTAGCTCTATAAAGTAAAGTTTCTCTTGGAAACTAATACAAACATTCTAGTTATATAGCTTAATAGCACTGCTTTAGACCTATCCGAATTATTACTTATAAGATAGATTACTTAGATCCGGCTATTTGACTTTAATATTAAGTATATAGCCAGAAAGAAGTATATAGTAGCTAATAGTTTATTATACCGACTATATATAATTCTGGAAATAGAGAAGGAAAAAGAGGAAAAGGATATTAAAGACTTTATAAATACCTAATTATTCTCTCTAAGAATTATATCTGTTTATATATCTAGCTCGGTATTACTTACCTAGAACGTCTACCCTTATTTAATTATTATTATAAAGAAATAACCCGAAATAAACTCCTATCTAGAAGGCTTCTATTTCATATATTACTAATAATATACTCGCTGGCTTACTATACTCGTCCGGCCAGCTAAATAAAGTACTACGGAATATTGGCTATTTAAGAATAATACTATTAAGTTTCTTATATAAGACAGGATACTTTTCCGGCGAAATTAAGGTATACCTAGAAGGGTTATTAATTCCCTGGAAAAGCGAGAAGATATTAAGATAGTAGCTTACGAGATTAGAGGTTATAAGCCTAGAGAGGCTACTTTCCGCAAAATTACAGACCATTTTTAGTGGAATAAATAGTATAAAGATATTAAAACACATATTAAGAATTACGAGTAATATTAATTTATAGCTTATATAAGAATAGAAAGTGAGCTATATCCTACTTAGGTATAAGTACTATAGTATAAGATAGCTTTAGATATAGTTCATATACCTTTATATTCGGGTAAAGATAGGCTAGTACTAGCTAGAGAGAAAGGCTCGGGATAAGTTAAAGAAAGAGTACTAAAGAATACTAATACTTAATTAATTACCCGGTTTATTTTTAAAGACATTATTTATAGATATAAAGTTTTTCTGGAGCTAGTTATAGATAGAGGACTAGAGAATAATAATACTATTATAAAAAAGCTTATAATAATATACGGAATCTGTTATATTATTACTTTTGCCTTTAATTCTCGAGTTAATAGAATAATTAAGAGGAGATATAAGCCTGTAATTACTACTCTAACTAAAGCTACTAAAGGCAGTATTAATAATTAGGTTTTTTATCTTCTAGCTATACTTTGGGCTAATTAAATAATAGCCAAAGTTACTACCGGTTATATACCCTTTTATCTTAAAGGGAGTCGAGAAAGTCTTTTACTAATAGATCTGGACTATTTAACTTGGAATATACTACTATAGTATAAAGTTTCTTTTATATCTGACTTGCTTACTATATATATATAATAGCTCAAGTAAAGAAATATAAACCTAAATAAAGTACTCTTGGTAATATACTACTATTGGGAATATAGGAAGGAAGTATTTAATAATACCTATATCTTAAGGCTATCCGGGTACTTCTCTATTAAAGATATTTTTTTTTTATAATACTAGGCTAGAAAACGACTACTCGTTAAAGCTTCATTACTACTAGAGAGGACCGTTTAGGATCTTTGGGGCTAGCTAGGTAATTAGTACTTTTGTAATTACGGAACTAGATAGTACTCTTTGAGCGGGAATTATAATTATAAGCCGTCTTAAGAAGTTTGTCTTTTACGGTACTACCCCAGAAACCTTATATAATTCACATTACCGGGATAAAGGAGTATTAGAGCGGATCTATGGCCCAGTTTAAGGGAGACCTGGTACTTGCAGGGAAGTACTATTCCCGGGGGTAAAGATTAGTATTTTGGAAAAGGAAAATATTAATTCAGACCGGGAGAACCAGATTATAACTTGGCAAGAGTAGTAGAGAAGAGAGGAAGAGATTATAAGAGAAGGGAATCGAACTTATATTCCGGCTAGGGCTAGTTTTGCGGTAGTTATTGGGCCTCAAAGAAGAGAATAAGAAAAAGCGAGAAGAAGGTACTATTAAGGGAAGCGGCTATATATAAATTAAGTATTCCTTTTATATAGAAGAATATTTCTTATGTTTTATTATAATTAGAAAGTCTTAAGGGTAATAAGAGAGTTAGAAAAGAAAAAGAGATATTATATTACTAGTTAACTAAGATTAGGAAAAAATAAGGAAAAAGAGGGGTTTGGAATTAATATATAGGCATTTATTTATATATATAATAGCTATAAATAGGATTTTATAGGGGAAAGTTAATAAAGGGTACTAGTAAATAAAAGATTAACGTATTTAATTACTAGAAGATATTATAAGTTTCTTAACTTATAGCCCTAAACCCTTAAGAATAATAAAGCGGGAGATAATTAGAAGTAATATTCTTACTTAGTTCTATTCTATTAGCCATATTTAAAGCTCTCATACCTTTATAATAGCCGGGACTTAATAGAGAAGGGAATTACTTTTACTAAATACTAGTATATAAGAATTAGAAGTTAGGATCTACTATTATTAGGACTTGGATTCGAGCAGAATTTAGGAAAAGAAAGTTATATAAAAAGAATATTTATTTTCATAATATATTTAGAGATAGTTAATATAAGTACTAGTATAGGAAAGGCATTAGCAGTAAACTTTAAAATATTAGAACTTAGTAATATCTTAGTATCTTATATAGGCTTTATTATTAAGTTAATTAATTTCAAAGCTCTATATAACTACTATACTAAGTTCTTAAGTATTAGATAAGTTATAATTACTATCTATAAAGAAGTACTTATTATTATAGTTATAAAGGATATAGTTAGCTTTGAAATAAGTACTAGAAACTAGAATAAGGTCTGCGGACATATAAGATAAGATCTATTAGAAAAGGAAAATTATAAGAGGGGAATTATACAGAAATAAGGAGAGATATATTACTTGCTTATTTAGTATTATAATACTATTATTTATCTTTATAGGCGGCTCATAAGCTAATAGAATAATAGGAGAAATATTATTAGAATTAGCTATAGTAAACGGAATATTAGAAAGAAGAGCTTAAATAGTAAGGAAGTAGCGAGAATAGTTAATAGATATAGAGGCCGGATATAAATAAAGGTATTAGAAAAAAGGAGTTATTATAGGAAAAAGGATAAAGTAAAAGGAAGTGGGAATTATATTATAAGAGGAATAACTTGGAAAGGTTAGAAAATAGAATAGATATAGCAGAAAGCGGGAAATAATATGGAAAAGTTATACGAGGAAGGGAACGGGCTATTCTAGGAAGAAATAAAGAAGAATATTAGATAGGTATTAGATAAAAGAGGGAAGCTAGAAGGATATTTTCTTAACTTATTATAAAAAGAATAGGTAATTCTTTAAGAAAGAAGGAGAGAAGAATTAGGAATATATAAAGAACTAGGGAATAAGGAAATAGTACTTGGTAGCCTGTTCTTAAATATTAGGAGAGGAGTATTAGATATTAGGAAAAAGATAGTAAAATGCTCTTTATTTAGAAAAAAAAGTTAATAATTTTAATAATTTTGCAAATGCTATAGTTTTGTACCTTACTAGTTAACTGAGATTAGGAAAGAATAAAAGGGGAAAAGGAATTACGAGGTATTTATTTATATATATAATAGCTATATCCGGGATTTTATAAGGAAAAGTTAATAAAGCTAGGAAGAAAATACAGAATTAATAAGTAGTATTATTTTAAAGCTTAATACTAACTACTAATTTTCGCTATTAAAATACTAGCTTCCTTTAGGAATAATAAACTAGAGGGTACTTAGATATACTATCTTTATCTAGAACTATACTATTTACAAGATTTGCTACTCTTATATCTTTATAATAACTAGGACTTAGTAGAGAAGAAATCTTAGGGGGCTAAGGAACTAAAGGCTTGTCTTTCTAGTTAGGATCTGCTACTATTAGTACTTAGATCTAAGCAGGATTAGAAAAAGGCAAGTTATATAAAAAGAATATCTACGAGAATTATACTTCTAGAGATATCTGCTATAGCTAGAACTAAGAGAGTAATATTAGTAGTACTTATTAAAGTAGGACTTATTCTCTTAGTAGCTTATATAGGCTTAAGTATTAGTATATATAATTCTAAAGTCTATAGTAGTTATAGCTTTAAGTTCTTAAGTATGAGAATAAGTATAGTTATTATTAGTAAGCTTATTAGTATTATTATCTCGGGTATTAGGAAAATAGAACTTTTTAAAATAACTAATAATAGTAGTAAGAATAGTAAAGTAATTGAAATAGTGGTTTAAGATCTATTTAAAGAGAAAAATTATAAGTAGGAAATTATATAGTAATAATTAGAGATATACTTACTATATACTTAGCTAGATAATACTATTTTCGATTACTATTAGAAAGAGAGTATTAGGTATTATATTATAAGAAGTATAGCTAGGGGCGGGTTTATTAATCTCTTTAGCTTCTAAAGATCTAATAGTATTAGAAAAGGCAGATATAATAATTAATAAATATAGAGATCGGATATAAATAAAGAATAGAGGAAATTAAGGTTATTATTAGAAGAAGGAGGAAGTTATTAGAAACGAGGAGAAGAGGCCTTTTATAATAGAAAAGTTTATCTAATATTTATTACGGGATTCTCCTTTTTTGGAAATAGTTATATAAAGGTAATTTACGAATAATTCATATAAAGATAGTACTATTATAGAAGGAGTAAGGGAATTAGACGAAATATTAGATAAAACAGAGAGGAAGGCTAGAAGGCAAGGTATTTGGCTCTACTATATTAGAAATAGTAGTATCTTTAGAGAAGGGGAATAAGAGAATTAAGGATATATAAAGGACCCGAAAATAAGAATACTATACTAGAATACTTATCTAGAAAGAAAAGAAGGGAAAGATTAGGTATTTCGGATATAGGAGAAGGTAGAACTAATATTATTTCTTTATAATTACTAGAATATAGCTTTTTCCTTTTATTATAAGCTTTTACTAGTTATGGAAGATATATATAATTCTATTATAACTATTATTACTATATTTATATTCTTTTTTCAGGGAAAAATAGAGAAATAGGAGAAGTATAGAAAGTCTTGAGTATAGGCTATAGGTTTCTTTAGAAACTATTTGGGTTTCCAGGTTTTATTAGGCTTTATACTTATACGGGCTTAGTATATTTTTTATTATAATTAGGGAATAATTATGAATAATAGGGGAGAGCTATATAATAGGGTTTTTTCTCTCTTATCCCATAACTACTATTACGTATCCTGCTTCCCAGGCATACTAATACTAGTTTAAGGGATTATATAAGACCTCTGTCTATACGTATAATTAGCCTTCCTAATATATTAACCTTTGGAGCCTTTTATTTTTGACTATTCGTATTATTTCATTACTAGTATTAAGAATCTTAAGATTATTACTTCTACTTATTTAGCTTCCTATCCTCTTTACCTCCACCCACATATCTAATACCTATATATGATCCAAAATCCATATAATAATTAAATCCCTATTATAATATCTATAAATCTTGATTTTAATTTAAACTACTATTATAAGTTTCTTTATAATATTTAAATAAATTTCCTAATTAGAAGTTATATATAAATAAAATAGCTAAATTAGAAGCCTTATAAGAAGAAAGAGAAACCTTATTAAATCTAATAATTATTTCCGAAAATACTTAATAATATATAATTCTGGAAATCTCTTAAATATTAGATAAACTAGATTTGCCTATTTAAAGCCTATTTTATATTAGAAAACCTATTTCTTTTCTTATATACTTATAACTATATTTAAGATATATATTATAGCTATTTTAAAAGTATATATTAAGGCTTAGTTAATATATTATATATTCTTATTTCTATAAAAAACTTCTTTTATATAAAATCTTTTCTCTAACTATAATACTATTTTATTACCGGGAACTAATTACTTTTTTAAAAAGCTAATATAATTTACTAATTCTTATTATTAATCTATTTCTTACTATTAAATATTATCTAAATAATTCTTATATTTTTAATACTAATTCAGAATACCTAATCTTTTTATATTTTATATTAACTTTAATATTAACTATTCTAAACTTAATAATAGTATTATAAACCCTATTTATACTATTTTATAGTTTTTTTCTTTTATAATCTCTAATATTTTTAATATTACTTTTATAAATATAGATATTACTTTAGAATCCTAACTAACT